CACTAAGTGATATTTAATAATCAGAATCAGATTTATTTAAAAAGTTTAATCCACTTATTCTGGATTTTGAATACTTATAATTTAAAAGAAGGACACACCTTTGCCATAATCTAGCATGTATTTTTACTTTCTTGACTCTTATAACAGAGGGAAAGTATGGCGATCTGGCAAAAAAAAAATGACCTCCCGAGATTTTTACACTTTTGGACTCAAGACACTTTGAAATGTTGAAAATGCAAAAAAATTTGGGAGTACTTTCTGTATGTATGAATGAACGTTAGTGTGAGGCATGATTTTGTTCACCCTCTTTGAAGCTTAACTCCTGTGCTTTTTGTTGAAAATTTCTAAAATTTTGCAGGATGGTTTGTTTATTAGAGAGATTGATGCTATTAAATTTTGGTGATTAAAAGTCAAGGGGTGGGGAGATAATGGAATTGTGTTTATCTCCGGTAGGGTTGGACTTAATGACAATTTTACTCATTGTTAGCATTTACAATTTTTTTATAAAACCCATCACTACTCTCAAAATTAAACTTTTTGTCATTTTATAATAGTTAAATTTATAAAAAGCTTTTTTAATAAAATATAACAACAGATGGCAACACCAAAATTTTAAATGTTGCCAGGAAAGTTGAGCAACTCATTGTTGGTTTTTTAAAATCAGAACCATCAGGTATTCAGCCTCATAATGCACTTTTATAAGTAAATGGAAAGTTTTTGACAATTATCATCATGAAAAAAGTCTGAAATTCTTGCTTTGAATGTTGAAAGTTTATCCTAGTGCAGAAAATGTATTGTAATCAGTCATGAATATGATATATTTCTCCTTGATCTGTACCTTTTATACCTGACAAATCATAGTTCTCACAGGTTCTTGACATAAACCACATCAAAAATATAAACATAATTTTTAATTAAAAACAAAAACACTGCTTGCATTTAATGTCAATCTCTTTTGAGCAAGACCTCATCACTAATACCTCTCTTCATTCCTTCAATTAGACATTTGAATTCTCAGAAAAAAAAAACCTTTTCAACTCAAAAAGTAGATTCCAACACAGCCTCAAATATTTTCACATGCTTCTGCTTCTTTTCCAAATTGTGCATGCAACTCATAATTCTAAACAAATTTTTAATTTAAAGCATATTAATAATCAATACGGTTGTATTCTCTTGACAGTCATCAATCAACTACTGGTGCATTTGTTACAAATGACATATGAACACGGCAACATTGAAAGAAAAGCTGGACAAGGAGGTAAATGTGAGTATGCAGTGCCAGAATAAGATGCTAAAGCATCCTAGCCTGTGAGAACATACTGGTAATTCTTGTGAACTGAAAATAAGAAGAGCAGACAGGTGTAAAAGTGAGTGTATGAACTGTAGAACTGTCTGTGCAACATGGGTTTAAAAGCCTACTATTCACATAAGAAGCCATTACTGATGAGTAAAATGTGCAGACAGTAGCTTACTGGACTAAACAGCACACAAACTGGAGCATTGACAGGTGGAATTCTATTATGTTTTTGGATCCTGAGTTCTGACTTAACTTGTAAGGATCTGACAGAAAACCACATTAGGAATAGTAAAGGCAAGGTCTATAACTGTGATTACTTAATGCAGATAGTAAAGTTTCTAGTGAGTTAAATGGTGTGAAGATACATATCCAGTAAAGGTGTCTGTAGACTACATTTTATAAATGCAGAATGCTACAAAAACATCTTATATATCAAGTTAATTCCAACAAAGAACAATTTTCTGACACACAATCCTCCATCTTCAAGAACTCTGTACTGTGTTATCACACCATTATGAATATTAAAGTATATGTATCATTTCTCTATAGCAGTGTTTCTCAACCTGTAACGAATCATCGCCCCTTCAATAAAACCATTACGTAGTATCGCTCTCTTCACTACAAAATTCCGATGCCAAGGGCCAAGGCTAATGTCAAATTTGTACTGCATTGAATAGACTATTGACTAGTATAATGTTATTTTTTTAATTATTGTACGATATAACAAATAAAATATCTAATTATTCTTAACATAATGTTTTACTATATCGCCAAGAAAATTGTTTTTTGCCCCCAAAATATAAATTGTTACAAATCACCCCCTCAACATGGAAAAATGCCCACATGGGGGCAATATCGCCCCCGTTGAGAAACACTGCTCTATAGTTTGTTAGTATTATTGTCACTTAAACTGACACACAAATTGTTGCTTATATAATAAAAAATTTCTACAGAAGACTTGGGGGCCTGTTTCATAAAACTTATTAGCCTAATATTATGAGCTTATTCTATTAAATATTAGATGATGATATGCTGTGTTTCAAAAAAATATCAGCTAATAATATTAATAGTGTAGCACAAGAGATATTAGTTCGGACTATGAAAACTGCATAACATTCTTTTTATATTTGTTTTTTTAAACTCAATTTTCATTTTTTAATACCATAAAAACAATACAGTGGAACCTCGGTATATGACCTTAATCATATACGTCCTATTCAGTATATTCTTATACTGAATAGGACATATACCAAACCAACCTTTCCCATAAGAAGTAATGTAAAAATGATTAATCTGTTCTCATGTAAAAAAAAAAAAAAAAAAACTAACTTTTAATTAAGGACATATCCCGAGATATCTTGGGCAAGTTACATAAAACACGGTCCTTAAGGCCATTTTTGAAATTTTTTTTTTTGAATTTTTGGAATGTTTTTTAAGTCTCCAAATTTTTTCAAAATTTTTTTCCTGTGAGAAAAAATTTTATCGCAATTTTAATTTACCTTTAATAACGCACGATTAACGATTAATTGTTTTTTAATGGGATTTTGATATCAAATTTCATTCATGGTTCTAAAGTTGTAGTGCACAGATTTTACTTCGGTAAAGTTATTNAAATATACGGCCAGCTAGTATTCACCCTACTATAAACCCATCGCCTCCCGAGACTTCTATGAGAATGTCCTGGGAAATCCAACTCCAGCTATGTTCAAGGTCATCCAGCTGTGTAAACGACTCATCAGCGTCAGATTTTACAGAAAGGCGAGACAAATAAAAATAAAATTTGAAGCTTTTCTTCAAAATTAATGCATTTCTTTCGTTTTTTTTTCAGTTTTAAATATTTTTTATGTTTAATTACATTAATATAAAAAATGTCTTTGTACACAACGGGTTAAACACCTCGCTTTCCTGGCTAATTCCTGCTTGATTTTTCATGAGATCAGCATGTATCTTTTTAGCTTTCTCGCAAATAATTGCTTCTGATACGCTGTTGCCAGCACACTGTTTTTCAGTTATCTAAAGCAAAAGCAATTTCTCAAATTGATCTAATGTCTTTGATCTCTGTTTAGAAANGCTTAACATCGACGAAAATTCAATGCAAAGCGACATGCAATGGAGAAAAATTTCAACACGAGATAGGTTAATACATTTTTTCGTACATAATTGGTTATCCGAAATATCGATTTTATGAACAACCCCAGTCCCCAATTGATTTGGATAAATGACGCTCTACTATAATGTAAAAATGATTAATCTGTTCTCATGTAAAGAAATAAAAAATGGCTGGCTTTAAACACCTTGCTTTCCTGGCTAGTTCCTGCTTGATTTTTCATGAGATCAGCATGTATCTTTTTAGCTTTCTCGCAAATAATTGCTTCTGATACGCTATCGCCAACACACTGTTTTTTAGTTATCAAAAGCAAAAGCNTTCCTGCTTGATTTTTCATGAGATCAGCATGTATCTTTTTAGCTTTCTCGCAAATAATTGCTTCTGATACGCTGTTGCCAGCACACTGTTTTTCAGTTATCTAAAGCAAAAGCAATTTCTCAAATTGATCTAATGTCTTTGATCTCTGTTTAGAAATTGATTTAACCCCTTTTGCAAATGTTAGCAGATTTAATAATGTCTTTATTTTTCACAATTGTCGATATCATCGTTCTCGGAATACGGTATACAACAGTTAAATCTTGAACATGCATGCCACCTTCATATTTCTCAAAAATCTCTTTTTTCAGTTCCATTGTGATTCTAGTCATTTTTTTAGTTTTCTGTTGCTTTTCATTTGCCTTTTTGCAATTCATGATTAATAAAAATAATAAAATTTTACTTATAAATTAAAATCAGAAGAAATTTAACAAAGTTATAAACTNAAATGGCTGGCTTTAAACACCTTGCTTTCCTGGCTAGTTCCTGCTTGATTTTTCATGAGATCAGCATGTATCTTTTTAGCTTTCTCGCAAATAATTGCTTCTGATACGCTATCGCCAACACACTGTTTTTTAGTTATCAAAAGCAAAAGCAATTTCTCAACATGATCTAATGTCTTCGATCTCTGTTTAGAAATTTATTTAACCCCTTTCTCAATGTTAACAGATTTAATAACGTCTTTATTTTTCACAATTGTCAATATCGTCGTTCTCGAAATATGGTATGCAACAGTTAAATCTCAAACACGCATGCCACCTTCATATTTCTCAACAATCTCTTTTTTCAGTTCCATTGTGATTCTAGTAATTTTTTTAGTTTTCTGTTGCTTTTCATTTGCCTTTTTGCAATTCATGATTAATAAAAATAAAATTTTACTTACAAATTAAAATCAGAAGAAATTTAACAAAGTTATAAACCGTGGTACCGTAAATGTCTAGTCTGATCTAGTACACCGATATTGCTATTTGTTCATAGATGGTGTGTATAATTGAATTAAGTTGTATACCGAGCAAAATTTGTTTCATCCAAACAGGACATAATCCAAATTGGACGTATTCTAAAGCAGACATATACCAAGGTATCACTGTATTTCACTTATATTTGATTTGTTTTAGTATGTGCCTAGCTATATTACATTTCAAATATTAGCTTAATTATTAGATTTATTCATATACTATATATTTTAAAGAATGAAAGCATGAATTGGAAGGTAGTCAAACAGATCACATAGAAATAACAAATTTTAGAATTTTAATAATTTTCATATAAACTGCTTACCTGGAGTATTATTGCCAGGCCTAACATGGTCATTATCATGAACACCATCAGTCTGTTAATAACATACATTAAAATCAAATATATATCATAAAAAAGATAATGTAAATACTGTAAGGTCTCTTTTTATGCGGATTATTTTTATGCGATTTTGAAGTTGTGCTGTTTGTATTTCATCCAAAAATTTCTTCGACAAACATACATATAGGCTTGTTTAGGAAGCCTGCGTATAGACAGTCTCCAAAAATCGTGGAACGCTCAAAGCTCACTCCATTTGTTCCACTGACATATAACGTTTATGGATGTAAAGGACAGCTAGATCTACCTTAATCGCTTTAGTTCCTAGCAATTTTTGATATAAATGTAATTAAACATAAAAAATACTTAAAACTGAAAAAAAACGAAAGAAATGCGTTAATTTTGAAGAAAAAGCTTCAAAGTTTAACTTCCTTTGTCTCGCCCTTCTGTGAAATTTAACACCGATGAGTCATTGTTTACACATCTGGATGACCTTGAACACAGCTGGAGTTGGATTTCCCGGGGCATTCTCATAGACGTCGCGGGAGGACAAGGGTTTAAAGTAGGGTGAACACTAGCTGGCCGTATATTTTTAAATATTTTTAAAAAATTTGGAGACTTAAAAAACATTCCAAAAATTCAAAAAAAAATTTCAAAAATGGCCTTAAGGACCGTGTTTTATGTAACGCTATGTAACCTGCCCGAGTTAACTCGGGCGAGGAACTAAAGGGGTTTTAATTAACTCTTCACATCCAGATGTCAGTGATTTGTTTTTAGAGTGAGCTTTTGCAATTCGGGGATTCCCCTTGTATTACTTTTCAATAAAATAAACTGAATTAAGTTTGAATACAAGTTTATTTTAAGCTTTTATATGAATTTCTTTCAGACATTCGAAGTAATTTATTAAGCAGCCTATTTCTTTTAATTTCTGCAAACTTTTTTATGCGGTTTTAAGTTAATTTTAACTCGTTGTTTTGGTTTTATGCGATTTTAGAAAATTACGGAACGTATCCCTACTTTTTCAAGGCAAGTAAAGTCTTTTTTTATGCGAATTTTTTATATGCGCTTTTCTGTAGAACGTATCCACCGCATAAAACGAGACCTTACAGTATAAAAAATTTTTTTATACAGAGTGTACCAAAAGTTTCTTTACTCAAGCTTTCAAGTTGTTTTATTAATAAAACATGACATGCACACAAAATGGAAATGAACAAAACACTTGTACAATCCATCATGCATTCAGAAATTTTAGAATAGACTTAGAAGTGTCTGCCTTTCATCTGGAAGCAGAGATCCATTCAACAACATATTCATACTCATGTACGATGTGAAATTTACTATACTTAGCTGAAGTACTGTGCTTCAAATCATTCAAATTGCAAAAATTATTTATATAAACTCTATCTTTTAGATACACTTATAAAAATAAATCTGGTAAAGTTAATTCCAAGGACTAAGTGCTTAGAAATGATGTGGTGATCAAAAAACCAATCCATATTTCACAAAACTTGATAACAAATTCATATAATGTAAGCTTGCTTGGTGATACATCATTGGAAAATTTTTCCTTCAAAATCTTCACACATTGTAAGATTTTGAGTCAAAATAAATCTTCCAGAAGTATAATGCTTTGTTTTGGATTAAGCACAATACTTAAAATGGTCTCTTTTTTCCCTCTTTCAATGATACATGATTATTCCACCTATATAAATTTGTTCAAAATGCTTTCAAGACCATCACAGATCTAAATCAGTAATGTTTTCTTTTGTCAATTTTTCAAACTAGAAGAAAATAATTTTCAAAACTTGAAAAGGAAACTTTTGATACACCTTGTACTTTTAAGTAAATAAATTTATTTAAAAACTGTATAATTCAGTTTTAACATTTGTAAAAATTACTGTAGTATCTTTGAGAATATTTTGAAGATGGATGTAGATATGATGCATATTGGAATTACCAATAAACCTGCAGTATGTTGCCTAGGCCATTATATTTCAACTTTGTATTCATTTTTGATAAATTTATACTTTGCAATTAATTGTATTAGTTTTCTATAGTAATAGTGTTATTTATTTTGTCAAATAAATGTGTCTATAACGAGTGATATTCCTATACCAGATTTTATATTCCTTATGTTTGTAATTGGTGCATAAAATAATATATTTGATACATAATTATGTAACAACTTACTATTGATTCAGGTTTGCATATTTTTGTTAAATTCTTACTGTGTAAAAGTGTATAAATGACATTACAAAATGACTTATGAAGTTAATTCCTAACAATTTAATCATTGAAATAATTTCAATTGTTAATGTGTTTCATCATTTGGTAATTCAAAATATCAATTATTTTCTGTGCTTCTTTCAAATAAACCAATTACTAACAGTGACACTTATGCACAAAACAACTGCAAAGAATTTTTTATCACAAATTTATGTTGCAGGTTATGCTAATTTCAACTTTCATGTTGTCCTTGTAACTAATACACAATGGCAGCATAACCACCTACATTTAGTCCAAATTATGTAACATTTGTATAATTAATTAGCTAAGTTCGAGCCGAATTCAACAATAAAGCTGCAATATTATCATCATCATAAATAAAAATAGTAATGTGACAAATTAGCAGTGGTGTGCTGTCATTGGAAGCGGTAGATGTGCCGCTTCCCTTGTATTTTCTAAAAAATAAATACATATTAATTTTAATTATATGAAAATAATCACACAATATTTTATTATAACTGCATTATGTATCTTATTACAAATTTCTATACTACACATAAAAAACAAAAAATAAGATTGCTATTGTATATTCGAATATTAGTGGCAGAGTGGAAGCACTGTATTGTCAGCATCCAAAAAGCCAGATTTGTGTATGGGCTTTACAGAGCACCAACCTCACCCAGTTTAGCAGGTGGAAGCCTAGGACCTTGCGTGGATGCTACACGTATACCAGCATCCAATTCTATCCAGGACTGGTTCTGGGTTGTTAGCCGCCTGCCTGCTAGATATTTGGCCATCCTTGCCCGATTATGTGAATCACGAGTAGATTTATAACTTAACCCAACTGATAAGAATTTACTGGTATGTTTTTATGATAGTTCTGTATAGTTGACAGGAGTTTAAAAAAATCCATTAAAATATTTGATATTTTTATTTTGCTCTCCCATTTCATATTATTGACAGATTTCAATGTTAATTAAACTAGTGATATTACGATTTCATATGTCCCATCTATAAGGGGATGCAGGAAAAAAGTGTACAATTCTTGTATAATGTTAAAAAATTAACTGTTACTTTGGCAACCTCATTTACAACTAAATTTAATGAATGAGACGCACAAGGTACAAAAAAAAGCTGTAGAATTTATTTTCCTTAAATTTACGATTTGTGTATCCGTTGTCATAAAAATTTGTCTTTCCACTTTTTTCCCGAGACTACAGATATCGAGTACAAAGTAACTGGTTTTGACTTATTTCTACTTAAGAAGTAGTTAAATAATTAAGAGATTAGGAACAAATAAAACCCTGCTGAAAGAGCCGGAATATTACTTAAAAGCTTAACCGAACCAATCTCTAGCCGAGTATAGTGGGGATTGATTTCTTCGTAATATTAGATGTAATAAAGACAAATTTTTCCAGTTCAATGAGAGTGACTGAAAAGTAAATTTTGGAAATTTCCGTGGACACCTGGTCCTAAAACGAATTAGTTAGAAAACAAATGACAATTAAGTTTAACATATGTAGATTTTTACAGCTATGGTGAGAAACGTTTAAAATCTACAACAACCCTGTCGTATCCTTTGAGATGTACTAGTGATGCGACAAAAGAGGCATTTGACATTAAACGGTATCGGCACCCTCAGGATTTGGCAGCCCGCGTGCATGCACGCACTGCCCATCTACCAGGACCGTCTCTAATTCCATCCATTAGTCACTCGTAGATAGCTATTTTACTAAGTGAATTGTTTTAAGATTTAAAAAGTAAAGAATATTTTGTTATTTTTATGTACNATATTTGATATTTTTATTTTGCTCTCCCATTTCATATTATTGACAGATTTCAATGTTAATTAAACTAGTGATATTACGATTTCATATGTCCCATCTATAAGGGGATGCAGGAAAAAAGTGTACAATTCTTGTATAATGTTAAAAAATTAACTGTTACTTTGACAGCATCATTTACAACTAAATTTAATGAATGAGAGAGATGCATGAAGTACAGAAAAAGCTCTAGAATTTATATTCCTTAAATTTACGATTTATGTATCCGTTGTCATAAAAATTTGTCTTTCCACTTTTTCCCCGAGACTACAAATATTCGAGTACAAAGTAACCGGTTTTGACTTATTTCTACTTAAGTAGTAGTTAAATAATTAAGCAATTAGTGAATTGGGGCATAAATAAAACCCTGACGAAAGAGCCAAAATTTTACTTAAACACAGTGGGGACTGATTTCTTCGTAATATTAGATGTAATAAAGACAGAAATTTTTCCAGTTTAATGACAGTAACTGAAAAGTTGTATATTTCGGAAATTTCCATGGACCCTGGTCCTAAAACGAATTAGTTAGAAAACAAACGACAAACAATCTATTAAGTTTAACATATGTAGATTTTTACAGCTATGGTGAGAAACGTTTAAAATGTACAACAACCTGTCATGTCCTTTGAGGTATACTAGTGAAGCTACAAAAGAGGCATTTGACATTGACTGGTATCAGCACCCTCGGGATTTGCCAGCCTGTGTGCATGCACCTACCAGGACCGTCTCTGATTCCATTCATTAGTCACTCATAGGCAGCTATTTGAATAAGTGGATTGTTTTAAGATTTAAAAAGTAAAGAAGATTTTATGTTATTTTTATGTACGTTTCTTTACAAAGTTATATTTAATTATAATTTTCTTTAAAAGTATATTAATATAATTGAAAAATATTTTATACCAGGTATGTACTGTACATCCACCACACATTTTATTTCATCAAGTAAGTTTTTATTATTTTATTTATAGTTTTAGCCCTTATATCGTGGCTAGCAATTCAGAATGTAATTGTGATATTAAAAATACATTTAGAGAAATCTATGGTTTTTACTGGCTTATTAAACAAACGATACGAATGGATTCTTGACCATCACTGACACGCAATTAACTGATTGCCCCTGGAAGTCGGCTTCTTACAGAAACACAGCTTCCCTACTATCAAACTTCACAGCACACCACTGCAAATTAGTGATGTATTTTTAAAACAAGTTGCATGTCTTGTATCAGAATACTAGAGGATATCACCAAATTACTTCCATAATGATGTTTCTGTATTTATAAGATTTTGTTTAGTATATTGTATGTAACTGCTTCAATTATATATATATTTTTAATTATATTATAATAAACTATGTTTTATTAATAATAAAGTAACCTCAAACTTAATAAATTAAAAAATACCTGAACATGTCTTTTCAAATTAGTCCATAATGTATCCTTTCTCGGATCTACCATACACACCTATTTACAATAAAAAGTATAAATTCATTATCTTATATAAATATAAATAATAATCATTATAAAATATACTAATTAAAGCAATACATGTCAAAACTTTCAAATATAATTAATTCATGTTAAATCATCAATATTTGATAATAGTCAACATATTTATTAACCTGTCCTGTGTTATTCCCAGACATATCTCAGGTTGTGACCTGCTGACCTTGACTGGTGACCTGAGATATCTTATTTCAGCATCGGAATGTTTTTGAAACTAGATGCCGCTAGTTGTTATAATTTTTATATTAAAACTAACTTCCGAAATATAATTTTTTTGTTTTT